GGTACCAAATAATGACGACAAATGGCGCCGAATCAATCAATAGCGTATTGAGGGAGGACAGGGAACTTCCTATTGTTGCACTTTTAAAAGCAGTCCAGAACATGACATCAAGATGGCGTGGAAAAAGGCAACAAGAGTTAAGGTCTCTCGATGCGTCAAATCCCCCTGTTACCCCGGCTGTTGAAGCTGAAATGCGCAAGAGATTCAACACTGCCTTGCGCTTGGAATGTCATCAGTTGAATCAATACGAGTTTGAAGTCAAGGGAGTGCACTCTGACCATGTTGTTAACCTTTCAAATAAAACTTGCACCTGCCAAGTGTTTGACAAGGATATGATACCTTGCGTGCAAGCACTCGCTTGTTCAGAACGCACAGGCATAGATTGTTATAGCCTGTGTAGTAAATTATACACAAAGGAATACATGTATATCGCATACGCGGAAACAATCTACCCCGTGCCACATGAAGATGACTGAGATGCCGATGGAATGGAGCTCTTAGAAGTCAAACCCCCTATATTGAACAAGCAAAGAGGAAGGCCAACAACGAAGAGATTTCCATCGGACGGCGAGGCACGAAAAAAATATAAATTGACATGTTCTGGTTGCCAAGGAAAAGGGCATACAGTACGGACATGCGCAAAGAGACCTCGTAAAGACACATCTACAACAAATGACTTGAATAATACTGATTGCATGTAATTGTGAACGGTTGGCATTCAATTCTGTATATAAAGATATGCGTGGACGGTTGGGGAAATACGTTGCATTTAGGACGTTTTATATACTCCGTATATTTTAATAATAATAATAATAATAATAATAATAATAATAATAATAATAATAATAATAATAATAATAATAATAATAATAATAATAATAATAATAATAATAATAATAATAATTCGATCATTTCGACTACATTTGGAACATATTCGACTGCATGTTATGCACATAGGAGGGTTTGATTAAGAATAACAACAACAACAACAACAACAACAATAATAATAATAATAATAATAATAATAATAATAATAATAATAATAATTGTAATAATAATAATAATAATAATAATATATGGTTTGAATGCATTTAGGACGGTACATGAGTAGTTGGGGAAATTCAAATATGGTTTGAAAGCATTTAAGAGGTTTTGAATGCATTTAGGACGTTTAATGAGTAGTTGGGAAAATACGTTGCATTTAGGACGTTTTATATACTCCGTATATATTAGTGCTATATATACTAGTGCAATTGCTTATCTTTATTCACAAAAACCCCTCTTAAAATGCCAAAAACTTTCGTCATGTATCTAGAGGAAAAGGATAATGCTCGCAACAAATTTCTTGAAGATCACTTCCCATTGGTACTCCAATATACTTTAAGTCAACATAATACCAAAGGGAAGTGATCTTCAAGAAATTTCTTTCCGAGCATTCGCGTCATATTATGCTTTGAACTACGTATTCAACTCCCAAGCAGCTCAGGTCACTGATAAAGGTAAAGTCCATCAATGAGTCAAATTCTATTTGTTAGTGGTCTAATAAAATGTAACAGATGAATTTATTGTTTTGAAACACTATTTAATGATTTGTAATAAAAAAAAGTGCATGAAAATGATTTGTAAGTGCCAATAACTTGTTCTAAAAAAAGCCTAAGTAATGATTTGTAGAAAATTACCCTATGATTTGTAAAAAGTTACCTTAAATATTCAACTTATATCCAAAAATTTATTGTTTTGAAAGACCTTTTAATTTTTTGTAATAAAAAAATAAATGAAAAGGTCTATTTGGAAAGGGTAGAAATTGCGTGAAACGCCAACTCAATCTAAAAACTGCGAGTGGTCGAATATGGTCACAAAGGTCAAATAGGTCGAATTATCCAATAAGAAAAAGTAAAAAGCCTAAGAACTTAACCGAAAAAAGAGTTGTACAAACACATTAAATCCCCAGGCACGCATACCTGGAAAAAATCAGATAATGATAATGTTCATTAAATAACAATCAATTAATTTTTTGTTTACCGTCTGTGATGACGGTAAACTCCCACCATAAAGGTGTTGTTCCCCACCCCAAACCATTCAAATCAACAAAGTAACGCCACATTCTCTTCACGAACCCATCACCAAAACAATCAACCTTGAGTGTGCAGACCACGGGCTGCATGTTGGGTCCTATGAGAGTGACATCTGTTTTTCCCTCTACAAAGCCATTTGCTTCGCAAAATTTGTCACTTAAGGCCTGAGACAATAACGGAACAAAAGTCATTAATTGTAGGTTGAGAATACACCATGTATTCCAAACAAAAATTTCGTGTTTGGTCGAATTTGGTCAAACTAGTCAAATACGTCGAATTTGGTTGAATTTGGTCAAAAAGGTCAAAAAGTTAAGATAATGATATTGTTCATTAAAAATGATATTTTAAAAGCATACCAGCTTCTCGGATGACTCCCGAAAGTGCGATTCTTCCAACTTGCAAACAAAGACGTCATCATCATCATCTGTAACATCATCTGCATCTGATAATTAGATACATTACAGTTAGAATTAGAAAGAATTAGGGGAGGGCGGGTAAAATATACCATATTTCAAAGTCTTACCAGAATCATAATCAGGAATTCTTATTGGGTAGTCAACTTCTGAACCAAGGGTCGAAATCAAAATGGCTTGGTATGCTGCCTCTGATAATTTTTTGAACAGAATATGCCAAAGATTTTGGCAGTGGTGGTCATGGAGAAAGTATCTCCATCCATTCTCGGCAGCGATTCGATGCTTGCCGTCATCTCCAAGAACAACTCGGACTGGATAGCACCCAATCCGAGTATATATATCCAATCTCTCCTCCCGTGGATGATAGCGAGAATAAATGACCTGTAAATCATGAAATCGAGATTAAAGCCAAGCATGCATGTGTTAGTCATATGCATTCAAATGAAATCTTACCGTGCCGGTATAAGCATCCCTTCTGATGACCACAACGAAATCTGATTGCGGCATTTTTATTCCCAGCAGCGTTGGAGAGTGTTCGTGAGGGTATAAAGAGAGTGAGTCGCAGACGAGAAAAGATGATGAAGAAGAAGAAGAAGAAGAAGGGAATTTATGTGAAATTTTGACTTTTCAATACTCATCTGACATAAATTTGCGTGGGACCCAAATAAAATTATTCCGTACAAAATTTCGTCTATATTTGACAAAATTTTGTCCAATTTTGTCTTTGTCGTATCTCTAATTTTGTACATTTTGGAGAAATACGGAACCGTACTACATTCCCAATGTTGACTGTAATTTGGTTGGACAAGTAGGACCACCCACTTACTCCCAACAATATTGTAGTGGAAAAGTACTCTTATGGAAAAGTACAATATTTTATTTTAATATTTCGAGATATTATCCTTTTTTGAATTTTTTTATAATACCTTTATAATTGTTAAAACTACCTCTATAATTAACTGGACTCTTACATCCACTACGGTCCGAACTTAGTTGTTAACACAAACAGGTAAAGACTACCGCTACCGTTATCCTCTTAACTGGACTCTTACATCCACTACGGTCTGAACTTAGTTGTTAACACAAACCGGTAAAAGACTACCACTAAAGTTGTCCTCTTAACTGGACTCCTACATCCACTACGGTCCGAACTTAGTTGTTAACACAAAC